CACAGGCCTGCAAAAGAGCTGAATTCCCTGCAAACATTTACAGGCATGTTTTTCCAGTTCCAGAGTGTTTGGAGAGCGATCTCCCTTTGTCTACATAAGAACACAACATAGACATCGCAGCTGCTCAAATCACTTAAATAATACTAAACAAACACAGATGTTTATTGGGCTTCCTCTTCCAATTTAAAAATAGATTAAATTAGTTTGCGTGCTTTACAGGGTTGCCCAAAGTCTCCCGCTTTTCCATAGTCAGCGACAATCGCCAAAAATCTTTTGGAAGTAAAATCTTTTTTCCATAAAATGTTAAACACTGACCCACTTTTTTACATCAGCCTGAGTATAAGTACCGCAGACGAACACGAAAACACAGGCACTGAGTTCCATTTAAGAGGAAACTCCTGACATTGTTGGTATTGCTGCAGTCAAAGCCACACTTGAAATATTTGGACCAATTAGAAGAGTTAATTGGAAATTCTTAATGCTAAGTGTCAGTCATTATGGCAGTTCTTACAAAGCATTGCTCTGTGCGTTCAAAAGTTCAGTGATGTGATGAGAAAGCAGAGCTCCTGTGAACCTCCTCTGTGCTGGGCTCTCCTCCTGTCTGGAGCGTGGCGGCAGGAGCAATGAAATGGCAAAAGAGGATTGGAAGCAGAGACCTGAGTGCTGCTATTTCTGGTCCTGATGTAGGTCAGGCGGAAAGGAACGGAGAGCATTGCATGCTGCTCATGATATCTGTTGCCTGCTCAGCCCTTGCCCATTTTCACCTGAGCAAGTGCTCCTCATGTATGAAATTCATCATCGTGGTCAGACGTGGGAGTAAGGCCACAGCTCATCCAATCTGAGGAAAGATTTGTTTGTTATGTGAACATTTTGAACTTAACATGAATGTTAGATCAGACCCTGTTCAAACTCATAAGTGTTGTATGATGTAATCCCTGCAGATATTGTTACGATGCTATCGCTAATTCGGGGGTGAGATTTATTAATAGTTGAATATAAAACCAAAAGACAGGATTTGTTTACAAGGAAATGTCTTTTGGCTCTAGTGTCTTGTTTGTAATCCTTTTGTTGTGCCGAATATTGTGCAGCACTTGGTTGCCATGGAAACACCAATGTGTTTTACTCCAGTCACTGAGTCCATGAATTAAGCACGGCACCAAAACAAGGCTTTTCCCCCAGTGAAGCAAACATATCAACACACTTTGCTCACTAGCTAATGGATGTTTACTGAGCAACCTTAATCAAAGATGGAGGCATACGGAGTACACTTATAAATAGATGCAGTGGCTTCTGTTTGTTATGTACAAGCCATTACTGGTAGATTGTCACACTGACACTAATTGCTGGCAAGATGTCAAGGAAAGCATTTGTCACATGGAGAATCCAAATCTTTGAAGCCCCTGAGAGACGAGCTAAAAAACGCAGAGAGACAAAGAAACCCCACGATGAAAGAAATGAGAAGAAGGCATGAAAGACACACAACTGCAGGACAGGGAAAGCTTGAAGATGTGTTACCCTTGAGAAAGCAAGCTCGCTTCTGTTGCCATGGCAATGGAGCCTATTAGGTAACTGTGTTGCCATGGCACGTGTCTCCTCTGTGATGCAGACCTGACCACACCCACCAACAAGCTCACCAGCTGTGAAGAGCAGTGAGGCTTTGTGCTTGCTGAGTGTCAGTGTTGGGGACAAAAAGAGAAGTAGAAGTGTGTGTGTGTCTATGTGCGGGATATTGCATGCCTTCTGCTTTTTTGTACCCAGGCTTTTTTCTTCAGGCTTCTAATTTTAGGGTGCAGTTCTGCAGCCCTGTCCCCCTCTCCTCCTGTCAGCTCCACTGACCCATGACCCCTCTCCTTTTCAGGGGGGCGTCTCCTCTCCTGGGGCTGGAACGAACATGGGATGTGTGGAGATGGTTCCCAGAGCGACGTCTTTCAGCCGCAGCTCGTCTCTGGTGTCAGACCTCTTCTCATTGGCTGCGGAGCCGGACACTCTATGGCAGTGAGCCCTGTGACGACTGACTCGACTCAAAACTCTGCAACCACCTCAGAAACATCGGAGCAGGAACATTAATTTGGCATATAGCAGAGCAGGATGCCTTTGTGAAGCCAACAAATGATTAGCCTAAGAGCCTTAGAATTTACTTTGACGTTCACCTCCTAAAAGGCTACTTGAGAAGATCAGCCTTCAAACTGCAGTCGTCATAAATACTGTGGTGTGGCTGGACACCGGCTGAGTTATGTTACATGTGGACACAAGCCATAATTTCTCTGACCAGCCCATCACTTTAATGGACATGATTTGGCCTGATGGCTTTTCAGGACAGGGCCATGCCTAGGCTCCTGGTGCACCTGCATGTCTTCTCTCTAAAGGACGCCGTTATGGGTCATGTGAGGGATGGGCTAGACTGGTGCTAGAGCTCCATCTTCCAATGTCAGCGGTTTTATTGCTGTGATCTTGAGTGTCAGAAGGCACTCAATCTCTGCACTTCATACTGAAAATATCTTGTTCATCACATGATTTACCACTTCCTCATACAGTATATTTTTATTCAGCAACTTTCCATCACCTATTTATTAACTTGGCAGTCTGTGTCATACCTTGTGTGATGCTCTATTTGTCTCATTTGCACCACTTTCAAACTCTATACTGCTATATTTGAACCGAGCTACATATTTACGATCTGTGGGCGCAGTGCATTGACAAACTGTAGGTTGAAGCTGTGCAGTAGTAAAGGGCGATGGCTCATTGATGCAATTCATTTAAAGGTTTCTATTTTATCCTCGTGATGCAAATTAAACATGAAAAACATATTTATCACTGAAGCTATGCATTAATGAAAGGTACATTAATATGCTTGTACCTGGATTAGTTTGAAAAAAATAAATCAGCACTCGTTGAAAAATGATCATTTCTGTGTTTTTTTTTATTTATCACTATTTATTTTACAAGCCTGAACTGCATCGAATAAAAAAGACACAAAAATCCCTAAACAACAAACCAATCAAACGATCACTGAACACCTTTTATTGAGATAACTAACCACAAAATGCACGGTGTTCAAAACACACACTCATGTCTCACTACATGGCAGATTGGTTGCCTCTCAGTTGCGTTATTGGGTTCGTTTAATAACAGCTGCTGTTGTTTGTATTCAGTGTCAGACAATGACCAGCACACTGTCCCCCCATTCCTGCACAGCTCTATTGGCAGACTCATATCTGCTGAACCTGACTGCACACAGATCTCTGTAAGTTGTTGGCAGTGTGTTTGCAGTTGTTTGGTAAAAAGTTGGTCCCTCTTCACTAACTTTTACACACAAACTATTAAGCTCCACTTTAAACTGCATGGCTCTCCTTTCTTTTTTAATTAGGTATGCTCAATGCTTGCCTTTAGAAGCTGATGCGTATGGGAGTACGTATTGTATCTTAGTGCTTGTTGAGTACTGAACTGATGTGTGTTTTCAATGGCTGGTGAGTAATGTCAAATTAAATATACATTAATTCAACATGGTGAACAGTTAGAAGAATTTGCATAACAGAGGCACTTGTCCAGTATGTGTGTAATGTTCTGGCATTGGTTTGCATTTCATACTAACCAATTTGCATGTGTGCATAAAAAATATAAAACCAATTCTACATGATTGTCAATTAATATTCAAATGAACTACATGTAATGAATGTCTGAGCTGAGATATATGAGTTCATGTAATTTACATATGAGCTATCTTTGTTAATCAAAGTGTAGCTATATATGAAAATATATCAACGTTTAATGAATGTTAAAAATACATTATTCCTTTCTGATAACCCTTTATACGTTCTGATAAACTAAGCAATTCATTACCCATTCCTAACTGCACACTTTGCCATTTGAATGCCTCTTAAATACAAGGTAAGAGTGGTGGTGTTTAAAGTAGGACCTCTTTTGTGAATGTGATCTCTTTGATGCCGCAAAACATATCAAAGGATTGTTAAAAGTGTACTAGTGCAAAAGTCTACAAAGATGTGATGATGACAGTGCAAAGTTAACGATTGGTTTTCTACTGTTTTGTCTGGCTGACATGACACGTGTTTTTTGTGTTTTTTTGCTGGGTGAGTAAAATCGGAGCAACATTTTTTTTTTCTTTCAACAGAAGAAGCACACAGATATTTGATGATCACTCAAAAACATTGGTACACACAACTTTAGCACACAAAAAAGCGTATTTACAGCACAGGCACAAACCGAAAATAGGCACACAAATTACAACACAGTAACCAGTCAAAGATACTGAGCTACATAAGGCTTGACAACAAAACTTCCTCAGTGCTACATCTATGCTGAGTTTTGTGATGTACAGGTTGTCACTGTCACACCCATTTAAAAAGACTAAGTAATACACACAACAATGCTACAGCACTATCAGGTGGGTGATCGGCCATTATGGGTCATACACATAGTGGTTGGGACACCATGGTTCATAACACAAACTGACTCTGTTGGTTGTCTGCTCCGGTGCTGTCGCTGGGTCTCTATAAACATATAAAAAACAATAACATAAATAAATTATTACACAAATTATGTATAATGGTGGAAATGATGGCGATGATGAATACCTCTGCGAGAGGCGAGACATGACACTAGCTTGGAGAGTAAAGAAAATGTGCTCCGTTAGTTCCTCATGGTAAACGTCCGGTTTACCATGTTTTTCCCATGCTTAGCCAAGGCATCAGACAACGGTGTACTGTTTGTGTGCAGAGGTCACACTCTTGAGTCGGTTAATAAACATGCCCGGTCATGCTGCGTGTTACACGTTGATGTACAGTAGTTCGGTCATTGTCATGCGTTTGTAAACGTTGCGTCATGCTCTCACAGTCCCCTCGTTTTTGTACACTCTCTTTGACCCCGACACAGGTAAACAGAGGGTCGAACAACAGTTCAAAGTACTAGCTGTAAGCCAGTGGGAAAGGAAAGATGTATGTACAGTATGCATGTGCTGGTGAATAAAAACGGAGTCTAAGCGCTAGTTGTGTATAAAATTTATTTCATGCAAGGACTTATATTTACATATTTTATTTTAATACTTTTCTGTTGCATAAATGGAAAATACATGCATGTACCTTTCCCCAAGTAGACCCACATCCCATGCTGTCGCATTGTACTTTTTTCCCCCACTTGAATTGCATGAGAATAGAATTCCTCTCCATCTTCACATCAAATCTTCACAAGGTTTTTTTTTCTTAAATATATAACGTCCATTAATTACCACAAGAGACATGACTCAAAAAGTAAAACTCTGCTCTCTCAGAATAAAAACAAGACTTAAATGAGTTGCAGTACTTATATCTTCTTCTAGAAACGAACACTTCTGATAATGTTTTCTTTTAAAGTGCCCTAAAATAATTGTGCATACTTATTTTGGGACAAAAACAGTATTGCCGTTGTAAAGCAATAGAAATAGATACTGCCGAAGCCAGTGTGTCATCTTGTAACTCGATATATTTTTGCTCTGTAGAACAGCTTTGTCCCTTTTTTTGTAAACAATTTGTGCTTTATCATACAAACATCTTGATATGAGGAATATAAAATTAGTATTTTCATTTATTTATTTATTCTTGTTTACCCCTTAGGGTTAAATCCTAGTGTTTGTGGAGTTGTGTTACGATAATAACCAGTTTACTGTGATTTAAGGTACGAGGATGGTGTAAAAAGTGCACCTTGTAAATAAAGCTTACCTTACACTGTTATGAGCATGATATAAAGTGTATTGATGCTACACTGAGAGGACTTATGTTACATCATGTCAATAATAACTCACTTTTACTTTGCCTCACCAGGTATAAAGGCACCATTGTTTTAAATGCCTTAATTTAGGCATCACAGCAGTAATAGAAGTTGCTGCAGACTACGGATACTGTTTAAAAACTAATAACTACCTATATTTGTATAAAAACTATTTATGCTCATAACAGCATTTGTTGGCTTTATAACAGATTGTTCAAGTCAAATTATGCTAGTTTAGTTGGAGGCCCCAGCCAAATAAATGCAAAAAAATATGAATTTAGGGAAAGGCAAAGAATGGCAGCTACATAAAAATCTCTGCTATGACTGAGTCTCTTGTAAAGCTGTCTCAAAATGCATAACAAATGACAAAGCTTTAGAAGCCTTTGAAAGAAAAAAGCTTTTTTTTTTCTTGCAGGTACTGCGATACAGTTAGCTTCTTGTTGAACATAATTTCTCATGCAGTTCATGCAAATGAACAAAAGTTCTGTTAACATTAAACTTATTCTTCACTACTATGATAGGAATCGTCATCATCTCCATATTGCATTGGACACCATGAGCATCATTTTGACTGTTTCTTTTCGCGGATAACATTGAGCTTTGTCTGGTTTGCACTTTCAGAATGATAACGTCTCTACTTTGCAACGTACAAAGCACTTAAGAGAAGGTCCCTTAACAGCTGGCAGTGGGATCTTTTGGATATGTTTCAGAGCCATGTATTGTTAATGTCCAGCATATTATTAGCATGGGTTACATCTTATGAAAGACTCTTTCACAAAGTTGTAAAAAGCAGATGATAAAAGTTATTGGCAAAAGAGTGAGATCAAAAGCAACAGAGCAACAGGCAATGATGTAAACACAGGGAAAGAGTGTAGCCTGTGGTAGAAGTAGAACAGTGCTTTGTCTACAAGTGAGGTGACCCATGCAGAGTGGCATGTGCCAATGTTTTCTAGTCTAGGATAGGATGACACACCCAAGGAGAACACTTGGGAACGCTGAGTATTAGACACAGTTAAGGTACAGTTTTCCAGAAAAATAATGAAATAAAAATGGAAAAAAACAAGAGTGAAGGCAAGTGTAAAAGCAAAATGTGACAGGTAAGATAAGGAGGAGTGTTGACTGGCCTTCCAATGTCATTGTGTCTGCTACTCAACCATGCTACATAATGGATGGGATGGGAGAATGTGAGTGCTGCATTAGACAGGGTGGGCTGCAGGGCAGGGCGGACACTGAGGACACTCCAGAGGCGTCCCCGCTCATGCCAGACATGCTGTTAAGGCTCCAAGGCTTTTCATAACCTTTAGTTGAAAAACAGAGAACGTTCTGAGTACACTTCAGCACTGAATCCATGACACTGTTTTGGTTGCTCCTCACTGGTTATACTACACCTGTTGCTTTCTTGTTTTTGTCTCCAAAGAAACAGGTCAACACAGACTTGCGACAGATTATTATTCTCCATGCATTGAGAGCATCAGGAGTACAGCATGCACCGGGTGGTACTGGAATGGATCGGAGTATAACACCATAACAGACTGTATTCTCAGCTACAGGTAGAATTTCAAACCGCACGCCATGTACTATTGATGTGCTGGTTGGACTCACGTGAGTGAGAGAGGAATGTTTTTGAAGATTAGCAATATTACATTAAGTACAAAGGGTTTAACCCAAGTATTAAAACGTAAATTAGAAAGTGGCTTTTAATAACATAAATAATAACATTTGACAATATCTATTTGTGTTGTGCTCCTTCACCATACTGATAGCACCCATCAGCAAGACACTTCATGCACCGTTATGGTCAAGAGCAATGTACTCATAATTCAGGATCCTGCATGGATATTTATCATTAAATACATTTACATACATGGCACTCACGTAAGACATAAATACTGTCTTATAACACAACACATTCTAAATCGTATAAATCTCGAAAATAGCTTTCTTACTTGTAAATAAATAGGGGTATTACATTATGCATGTTATCAAAAAATATAATATGTAGATGTGGACAAATACTATTGACATTTCTGATGATTGTGCTTGGCCTTAACAGATGTTAGTGTGACACTGAATATACAGTTCCCAAAGGGATGATAGAAGAGAAGCAGCTGCTGTGAAAGCGTGTAATAAGAGGTTTGTTGTTGTGTTTGTGTGTGTGTGTGCCTGTGGAAAACTGAGGTGTAACACTCAGCAATGAGCGTTTCCTGTCTACGGTCTACAGGGTGTCAGTGTCTTACAGGGGCCTGTGATTGGCTGTTACTGTACGTACCCCTCCTCACTCTGCCCCCTGTGTGGTTGGGGCGTTCAGCAGTGGTGACCAAGAAGCAGGGCCGCTCCCTCTCGCTGGGGCTGAAGATTTCCTCCGGAGATGTGGCCTGGTCTATATGAGGGCAATCTTCATTAGCCAGCGCTGCGTTAGCTGCCTCTCCATTCAACTTTGAATCTTAGAAGAAAACAATTTAAGAAGAAAAATCAGGTTGGAATACGTGACTACTACTACTACATACAGAACAGCTGTTGTCTAATGTTTGCCTCTCTGCTGTTCACCATGAGGCTGTGTTTTCATTTTATTTATTTGTTTCTTAGCAAGAAATAGTGAAAAGATACTCGCCTGATTTATATGAAACTGGCAAAGGAACAACCCATTCAATATCAGAGCAGATCCGAATCATGGGGCAAATTATCTTTCATTTTCGTTAACATTGCAAGATTGGCCTTGGTGGATGACTGCATTCTTCTGAGCACTCTTCTGGTTTTATATGTTTTTTTAGCATAATTTGTATCAAAGGTCAATTTATCTTGAGGAATTCAAGAGTAATTCAAGTGACTCCTGCGTCTACTTGCATGTTCTTGACATTACAAGTACATGGTGATTACAGACCCTTAGTTAGTCTTTAACGACAGGAGGAGTGAATCAATGTATTAATAAGATTACTCACGGTCTGCCTCAATCTCTCTATTCTCTATCCAAGGTAAAACTTGTTTTCATCACATATTTTATTAATAGTTTTCTGTGGGAAACTCATTTGTTTAATCTCATGCTTGAATCATCAGCTGATTGAAGCATGGGATAAATGCTAAACAATGAAACAGCTGAGTGGTAATGTGGCTGCATCAAGAGGAGTGATGAGACAACACAGAATGCATAATTATATGTTTTCTTACCTTGAAACTTTATCTCGAAAACGTCGTCATGGGGTATTGGGCTCGGTTGTAGGGAGCTGACACTTGACTTACAGAAGTTTGGAGAACCTGGTTGTGGGGCACGGATATGCCGGTTCTTCTTCTTTGGTAGTTTCTGTTTTGCCATGGCCAGAGAGTAATACATTCCAAAGTTGTTGACAATCACAGGGACGGGCATGGCGATGGTCAGCACGCCCGACAAGGCGCACAGGGCTCCGACCAGCATACCGGAGGTCGTCTGAGGGTACATATCGCCATAGCCGAGGGTCGTCATGGTCACCACAGCCCACCAGAATCCGATCGGGATGTTCTTGAAGTGCGTGTGCTCACTGGCTCGAGGGTCGTTGGGGTTAGCTCCAATCCGTTCAGCGTAGTAGATCATGGTAGCAAAGATGAGGACACCGAGGGCGAGGAAGATGATGAGGAGCAGGAACTCGTTGGTGCTGGCTCTCAACGTGTGGCCCAGCACCCTCAGTCCTACAAAGTGACGTGTCAGCTTGAAGATACGCAGGATCCGAACGAATCTGACAACTCTCAGGAAACCTAGCACGTCCTTAGCTGCCTGGGAGGAGAGCCCGCTGAGGCCGACCTCCAGGTAGAAGGGCAGGATGGCCACAAAGTCGATGATGTTCAGGGCGTTCCGAATGAAGTCACATTTATTTGGGCAGAAAGTTATTCTCATTAGAAATTCAAAAGTGAACCACACCACACAGACGCCTTCGATGTAGGTGAGGTAGAGCGCAGTCTCAGTCTCCTGGTATGTGCGCACCACTGTCACGTTGTCCACCACCTCCTCCTCTGTGCGGTTGATGATGGCGTTGAAGGCCTCGTGGGTCTCCAGACAGAAGGTGGTGATGGACACCAGAATAAAGAAGAGCGAGGCCAGTGCCACCCACTGAGCAGGACATGGGGGAGAGATAGAGGGGAGGTAAGAGGAAGAAGGTAGGGAGGGGGAAGAAGGACAGAGGAGCACAGTAATTCATGCAATGTAATCAAGCTGAACGCCTTGCAGCCATTCTTAGCACAACACAATGCAATTCAATCTATTATCAGAGACAATGCGGTCTGACAGTGACTGCCACATCGAAACACTCTCTCAATCCCCACTCCCTCTCTTTGCGACTCTATGCGTGTTGATTGAGAAATGTCATTGTAAAATGGACAATCAATGCATGCTCTTGCTTCTCATCCATCTGCTGTACCTCAAGGTCATGGCATTTTCAAGGGGTTGCCACATTAGAATTACAAAGAGCCAGCAGCAGCAGCAGCAGGAGGAGACAGGACATTAACCCACATGAAAACATTTAGCTGGGGCTCTTCCCTTCATTACAGAAGGTTTTCCCTACACAAGGTCATACAATCCGGGTGATCAACTCTTGGGACATGTGGTGAGCTAAGAGGCTTGCTGAGCTGATGAGAACCGTGTATGAGAAATTTCCCTCAATGGAAAACGTGTACTTTAGCTTTCATTATGTATTGATTGGATGATCACATTTCATCATATTTAGGCTCTGATATGTCTGATGCAAACTACATGGGTGTAACAGATACAGTATTCTCTCCTGGGTATTGATTGCTACCCTCATGTTATCCTGCTCCTCAAACTGCACTGCTTTAACTGTGTTTGCTGAAGTTGTAATGTAAAAAAAACGTAGGGCTTATAGGGCTGGCAACATACAGATATATATCAAAATCGTGATTTGAGACGAGGTATCGTCTTTGAAATTATGATATTATGATATTGTAATATCGCAAAAGTATCTCTTCCTTGTTTTAAAGTTAAGTTATGTTATTTTCAGAATTTACCAGACTGTTTTAGCTGTTCTATTATTGGTCTTTACCAACTAGGTCAATACATCCACCTTGCATATTTTCGCGTTTATCCATAAATGATTGGGTAATTATTTTGTGAAAGCACCAACAGTCAACCCTACAATATTGTGGCAATATTGATTCCAAGGTATATGATCAGAAGTATTGGGATATCATAATCGGAGGTCAATTGAGCTTATTAATTATCCTTTTAAATAAAACAATTTGATCAATATCAGCTTTTAGATGCATGAAGATGTCTTCATAAGAGAAGGACGATTCTGCTCAAACTAATGCACTGCCTTGTTAATAGCAGGGAGGATTATTATCAGGAGGTTTGTTGTCTGTGCCCAAGGACGTCTAACATGAATTCCACTGAGCAAAGGAAGCACAGCGTCTTAGTCAAGTCCATTCACAGCGTTTTAGCAAGGCAGGCAGGCAGCACCAGATATAAAACAGGCCTCATCATAACATCTCATCACTGGCCATTCATCGCATTGTGCTGAGGAAATCACTGCTGCTTAAGAATGTCTGCTTCCCATCCGTGTTTGCATGGTGGTCTGCAGGGAGGCTGTGTGTTAGCAGACTTCTGTTCTGTCAGCAGGGCTGTCCTCACTGTTCAGAGAGACGACTCATGCTGAGCAAAGAGGACGCAGTTTAGACCGAGAAGGAGACTTGTTGCAATTTAGAGTATGGCATGTGAATGACTCGTTAAATCCTCTTTGAATTTGATACAAAATGTCCGACTTTTAAACATACAGTGCAGATAGATAATGTGGACATTTAACATTTCAATGCAATCGGATACATATATATTTTTTAAGCTGTTCCTTTATCGAGTTAAAGATATTCCATTTGTGTTGGTACAGTGAGAGAGAAAGAGCCATGAGTACAGTGTATCTAGTGTTTTATTGGATTGCATAATATTGTTGTTTTTTCCACCCCCTCTATAACATGTACTGTCCAAAATAACACGTTCTAGACTATAATACAATCAAATTCAACCACATTGGAAAACTACATGTAACTAAATCAATGGCTATATTACCAGCTGAGCAAAGTGGGTAACTTTGCATAGCCCATAAAAGTTGCAGATTTATTGTCAACTAATCTATCTAAATGTAAATAAATAGATCATACTCCTAAATAAGTTTGACTAAGTCACATCAAAAGGTTAATAACACAGCTCCTTTCCTATTGATTTAATATAGCCCTGCCAATGCCTTATCAATACAGCATTAACAGAAATGTTTTGTATACTGACAGAAGATTTGATATGATAATCCATTGAGCGTTAATTGTTTTGTAATTGCACAAAACATTAATTGGCAACAACTTTGATAATAGTTGCGAAAATGCCCCAAAATCAACTGTCTCTACCTTCTAAATTAATAATTATTGTTGGTCTACTAGTTTTCAATGACTGTAAACTGAATCTATTTTGTTTTTAGACTGACGAATCAAGCTATTTAAATAGGTCAACATGACATTTAGAAAGAAATAATAGATTAGTGCTCTTGGTATTTTATTTTTCCAGCCTATTTACATCAAGTAGCAGCGGAACTGGAAAACAAACATCACCCTTGCTGCCAGCAGTGTGATAAAGCCTCGTATATGTCGAGCCTCCTGACACCTGACTGGCTCTGAACATCCCGCTCTTCAAACTGTTAAACAAACGTGCATCTTACGAGATCGCCTCTTCCAGTAAATGATGTCTCTTTGTGACAGATAGCAACAGTGTGGCCTGGAGGGAGGGTGACAGGCGGAGGATTTGTTTGCGTCTTATTGGATAATTCTCACTGTTGCCGGTAACCCACTGGCCTACTGTGATATGCAGGGAAAGGGTTTTCCACTGATGTATCCACTGTGAATAGACTATGTGATTAACTCTGGGCTCACTTATAATTAATCTTCTTGCCTGTCTTGGTGGAGCTCTGTCAATCTTCGCTCTGCTTTGTATTGCTCACTGCTAAATGTGGAACACATCAGGGGAGTATTCAGCTTCGGGAAATGTCCCTGCATGCACACTGAAAAAGTGTGTGTGTTGATTTTACTGCTTTCACTAATGCTTTCTTTAGTGAGAACATGTCAATACAGTGCTGCTGGATGGGGCCCAGTAACTAATTACACATATCAGTGCTACATCTGTTAAACCAGCAGGCAGCATAGCGGTCTTTGTAGGGGGCAGTGGCCTAAAAAACAAACAAAAAGTCAGAAGGTGTAAAGTATGGAGCTATATCAGGGTCATACGTTTTGATCATTCAAAAAAATGTATTTGAAAGTTCAAGTTTTTTCCTGAACTTTGAAAAATACAATGATGTATTCAAAATGAAAATAAGTATTTGAAATGTTTTTTCAGGTTGAATATTATTTTGATTCAGTTCAGCAATTCTTTTGAATAAAATATTTATTTTCGTATTTCACTTTTATACATATTTTGAAGTCCCTCCCTTTCCGGTGGACCTTATTTCGGAAAAAGTATGTATTGAAGTCAATGGCGAGAGAAAAGTTATGTTTCGATCCCGTTTGAATTGTGTTTGGATTGTTTGTCAATCTTAAAAAATCATTTCCAAGTAAAAAAAGTCACAGTTTGTCGCCAAACTGTGAAGTTACACTTATTTGTGTGTGAAACCGCTCAATGAACTACATCTCTGGTCTCGTACAATACACGTCACCAACACCAGAATGAGGTGAAAAGTATTAAAGGAGGTGGAAATCATTACACATCTGGGCATGTTGAGAGCTGCTATTACACAAAAGGGGAGTTAGTCGGTTCCGTATGAGCCAGCATGTGGGACCGGATGTACAAGGTTTCTGTGAGTGTTAAACATGTGTAATGTTAATGTCAGCTAGCTAACATTAGCTAACAAGGTACACTCTCGTGTTTTGTTTTAGAAACTAGTTTTCTGTGTACCTTGTCCTTGCCAACACTAATGTTATCCACAGCATACACAGCGATCACGCAGTTCTTAACGAGAAAACCAGTTGCTCAAACAAAACACAGGAGTGTACCTGGTTAGCTAATGTTAGCTAGCTGACATTAACGTTACACATTACACTAGTTTCACACTCACCTCGGCTCTTACGGAACCGACTAACTCCCTTTTTGTGTTTATACTCTCAACATGCCCAGACTTGTAGTGATTTTCTCCTCGTTTAATACTTTTCGCCTCATTCTGAAAGAAAGAGGTGAAATGTGCTAACGTGATGGCCAGCTTGGTGTTGGTGGCGTGTTGTGCGAGACCAGAGATGTAGTTCAATAAGCGGTTTCACACAAAAAAGTGTTACTTCACAGTTTTACGACAATTGTTTTTTTTTTACTTGCAAAATTATCTTTTAAATTGACAAACATCATATATTCATGTCACAATTCAAACGGGATCGAAAAATAATCTTTCTCTCGCCATTGAGTTCAATACATAGCCCCCACCTAGTGTCAGTTAATTTTATGTCATATATTTTGTTGATCTTCTGTCTTTTGCCTATAGGCTATTGCTCTGCTGGATCGATTGATATTGTGACCTCGGTGATGAGTATCTGTGTTTTCCTTATATTTACAGTCTATGGTGTTTTAATGCTGAAGCATTACGGGTGTTGTTATTGCTAAGTATTGCTTTGTGATGGTGCCCTTTACTCCATGTATTAAGGTGCGTTACAATAAGACATCCCCACGCTGTGTACGTAAATGTATGCGCTGACGGTGTTGCTCCGTGGTCTTCATTCAAGGCCCCCCCCCCCCCCCTACACATCGAAGTTGTTATTGCCCCACCAGTTTTGTACATATAAAAACGCCACTGCGCACAAACATACTCTCTGTCCCACTTGTGGCTTGTTGACACCTGGTTTCAACTCTTGTTTTTTCAGGTTTCAAATTTTTTTTCCGCCTTCAGATCTTTTTTCGCTTTCAGACTTTCTTGGTGCTAGTGGAGCCTCGCAGTGGCGAAACCGTGCAGCGCCACACTAATTGCGCCGCATAAGCGTGCCGCATTTTCTGCTCAGTTGAGGCACCCTCCACAAGGTGAGGCCCCATGCAGTCTGTATGATCGGCCTGTAGGGAGGGACGGCCCTGGCAATAGCTCAGGCCGTGATATATGCTCATTATATCACAGTGGGGTTGAACCACGCCCCTTAGCTGTGATATAATGAGCATATACCACGGCCTGTCGTGAGATATTGCTTAAATATATGCCGTTAAAACTGCAATATATACCTGGCTGCTTAATCCTCAGAACTGTTACAGGATGTGTATTTTGTAAATTGTATAACTTTTTATTTTATATTTTGTATTATAGGCTATAACTTTTTTTTTTACTTTAATACTTTTTTATGCATGTATATCTGTAACATAGGCTATGTAACATTAAGCTGTCAGTGGCTCTTTTTCTGCTGTAACAACGTACATTTCCCCTCTGTGGGACTATAAAGGTATTCTGATTCTGACGATGCTCAACAGCACGCTTAACGGAACTTTGACGCAGGTATCAGTTTTGTTTACCACCAATCACGGGAGTATTGTGTATAGAATGTGTTGAGTTATATTTCTCGCGCTACCTAACATCCATGAAGGCAACATGACAGAGGGAAGGAAGCCTGTCACTCAGGATGCCAAACTACTCTTTGGTAAGCCCCGCCCCCCAAGCAACATCAGGGACAAAAGTTTGAAAGCGAAAAAAAAAGATCTGAAAGTGAAAAAAACAAGGATTTCAAATATCATAATATGTATAAAAGTGAAATATGAAAATAAATATTTTATTCCAAAAAATTGCTGAACTGAATAAAAAACAATATTCAACCTGAACAATTATTTCAAATAGTTATTTTTATTTTGAATACATCATTGTATTTTCAAAGTTCAGGATAAAAACTGAAAATAATTTTTTTTTTTAATGATCAAAACTTATGACTCTGATATAGCTCCATGGTAAAGTCATTTAATTGTCACCATGCACAGGCATTACACCCAGATGGAAAAGTGCCCATAACATTGACCAACCCAATTTTTGTCTGGAGGTATACTAAAATCCTGATGGTGCCAAATGGTTTGAATCTAACCTATTTAACCACATATATGCAGCCTGGGATTGTCCTGAACATATCAATCCAAAAACTGATGACATCCACAATCATTCTTTAGCCCTGTGAAATTGAGGAGGAGGGAGTCATGATTTGCATGTAAATGATTTTGACATAATAAGCTCTTTGGTTGATTTTCACGCCCCTCCCTCTCTGTAATCTCAAGGTCTGAGAATCTCAAGGTCATCAAAAACCTCTTTAAACCTCCTATAGCCATCCATCTTTGTGTCACAATCAAAAGACAAAGGCAGTCAAATACACTAGGGCTGCAACCATTAGTCGACTAAAAGTAATCCCCAACTAGCCTACATTTTTTCACAATTGATTTTTCATTGAAAATGTCATTAAAAAGCTTTAGCTTCTCAAATATCGACAATTACTGATTTCGTTTGGTGAATATAATATTTAAGTGAATATATTTGAATTCTGTTGAAACAAAACATTTGAAGTCAGCACCTTGGACTTTGATAAACTGGGAAGCACACTTTTCATCATTGTCTGACTTTTTACACCAAACAATTCATTTCGAAAATGACCAGATACATCGATAATTTACATAGGCCTACTTAAGTTGCTCCCCTAATTACAACTGAATTGTTCTCGTAATGCAACTTTGAAAGTTATGACATTTGCGTTTTTGTTTTAGCACAGAATGTTCCCATGACAACTCCTGAAGTTTCAGATCTTTGCAGAAAAACTACTTAAAAGCAACTCACCCTTGCATATTTAGAGGAGTAAGGGTCCTCAAACAGAGCCCAGACGTGTCTCTGCCACCGGCTCCACAGGCTTCCACTCCGGTGATCGTGAGTGTCTCCCTGCGCTAGCCTCCTTGTCATTTCATCCACATCCTCCTCGCCATGCTCCAGATCTGGCTCCGCGTCATCGTTCACCAGGTCCAACAGGCCCCCCCCGCCGAAACTATCAAGGGCCTCCTCTGCCTCCCGATGCTGGCGATAGTTCATCCAGCAGCATGGCTCCACGTCTGTCTCATCAATGCCCCAGAAAGCCAGCTCCTCCTCATAGAGGGGCCCGCAGACATCAGCCGGGCAGTGCAGTTTACCTGTCCTGTAATAATTAAGGATATGTGCAAACACGCCAGGGTGGCGGTCGAAGAAAAATTCGTCGATCTTGGCATCATAATCAAAGTGGTTAGGGGCATCAGGCTCGGCTAACTGGGATAATGTAGTGCCAGGTAGGGTGCGCAGGGTGCTGCGGTATGTCTGATGTCTGATCCCTCCCACGTTTATCACAATGCGATCCTTGTCGTCGCTCAGGCCCATTGCGTCCCTTAGGCATTTCTCCAATAAGTTCCCTTCATCGCAAAGGTAAGTCTAGGAGTGAAACTATGCACCACAGGGATCTCACTGATGGGAACTATTACATAAATGAGGCTCAGAACAACCTGTCGTTTCTCACCAACTAATAAAGAAATCGTGGCTGCTTGACACGCACCTGGCTACATCCACTCTAAACCCTGTGGTTTCTACAGGTCTGTCATGCAACTTCAGACGCTTATAGCTGCCGGACTCACTGGAGGATATCAAATCCAAAAATCATTGCAGCCAACGACAGTAGCCTAAGAATGGACGTCACATAGTCTGTAAATCCAAGATGTCGAGATAAAAGCGCTAACGCTGACACATCTCCCCCCCGCCAGCAGAACACATCCAGCTCATTGCACTCCCCACGTTGCAGTAATTGATCAGATCACTGCTGAGCTTCGTTGTGACTTTCACAGCAAGGTGACTACGGTGGTGCTGAGCGGACAGCGCCTTCACAGCCTCCTCTGTTGCTGCCTACAGACTCACCTCCTTCACACCGACGCTCAGTAACGACACAGCTCTTTGTCTCAGCACAAAGATGCTCCCCAGATCAGGAACTTTCCCTTTCCTCCATGCACTGCTGATGAAGAAAAAGACACCCACAGCCTGAAGGGAGGCAAACGCTGCTTTCTGTGCTGCGTGGTTAAACAAAAAATGAGAGTCAGAGATGAGAGGACGACAAGCCTCCTCAAAAACGCCCAAACTGCCTGTTTATTCACACCGTGCCCAGCTCTCCTCTCAGATCACATGGAGCATGCCCAGTGGACCCTGCGTTTGTTAAAACCCGCTGTCAAGTCCTCAAATTAAAGCTGTTGCAGGTTTCATCGCTGCCCAATTTTTCTCACTTAACGTCGTCGCTCAGAGGGTTATGGTCGATGGGCGTCTGTCACAGTCAGGAGGGACTTATCGCATGCACAGCTGGTTGGAGAAGGTGTGACCCTGGAGCCATGCACGCGCAGATCCGCCCATATACCATCAAAAAGAGTCTGATCATAATGTCTCCTTATAGCTCCGTGATTTATGGATGTGCGATGCAGACCCGTGTTGAAAGTCTTCATGTGCAGATCGCTGTACCAACTGTGGAAATATTTTGAAGCAAAAAGTTGAGACAATTATTTTTGTTTTTGCACAACTCTTTTGTGTTGCCTGGTCTGTAGCTTGTAATCGTTAGCCTCCACCTGTGTTTAAAGTGCCAGCAGAGGGCGCCCTTAGTCACTTAGTAATAATACTCCCCTTTTGTATGCCTGTTAAATAAAAAATATGAAACACAAGCAAAGTGATGGAAGAATTACTCAGATTTGTAACTTAGTAAAAGTAGCAATACTACATTGAAAAGTAATTTGTTACAAGTAAAATTTCTGCTCTCAAAATCTTACTCTTTTTACTTAGTTAAAAAGTATCAGCATCAAAGCAAATTTAAAGTAGCAAAAATCAAAGTGCTTCTTATGGCCAATTTCAGAATCTAAATATATCGAGTTACCCCATTATTATTGTTGTTTTTTTTCTCACATCTGGTAAAGGTAGAGCTCATTTGAATAATGTATACTGCTGCTGGATATCTTAACCTATAAAGTCAAAGTTTATTTAATAATTGATTTAGTTTTTTTATTAGCTAATAATTTAAACCTAAAAGGTAAAACCTTTCAAATAAACTTAGTGTAGTAAAAAGTTCAATATTGGCTTCTAAAATGTAGTTGAGAAGAAGTAAAATAATATAACCTGAAAATACTCAGGTAAACTACAAGTACCTCAAAATGATGCTTTACTTGAGTAAATGTACTTTGTTTCTATCCACCACTCCATAACCATAAGGGGACAACATTTGAATGTTTTTTGTAACATGAGTCATTACATCAGATTTTTCTTATGAAATAAAATCCTGTGCCAAGATGTCTTATTTCTATACATATTTGATGTCGATTTTGTCTTTTAAAACTGGTTTAATAATTAAAATGGACTGTGGATTTCACTTCCTTCCTTTCTTTCTGTCCACTCATTTCCCCCATGAGAGTCAAGAGAGGTTTTGTCCTATTCTCATCATAACCCATTTGTAAAGTTGCAGAGGAACAAAGTAGGGCTCTCAGTGTTGTTCCCTCTGCCTTCTTCTCCTCCTGTCCTCTTCTCTCGGTGGGCAGTTCCCGGTCTCGGTTTTCAATCTTCATTATAAAGGAGGAGTTAGCAACACAGAGGCGCTTATACCCAGCCGGCCTGAATAAAGTCTGGCAGAGAGAGAGACTGTGTGATCCGGGACAGTAGACTGACCTCACAGTGTGTTTGATTTGCAAAAGGACGAGTTGGTAAAAACTGGCAACATGGTTGTGGCGGGCTGCACAAAATGCATCAAATACATGTTATTTTTCTTTAACTTTATTTTCTGGGTGAGTTGAACATATTTTACTTTGGATTTGCTATTATACTTTGTTCTTTTATTGTCTGAGTTGCTTTCTTTTACCTTGTTCTGTTCTCCCTGTTAAGGCTAATAGTCTGTTAAGCTCAGAGTTCAAGGTTAATAAATGATACATTCTGGAGAGTTTCCTTCCCTGCTGTACTAATTATGCTGATGTGACATTCAGCATCAGAGAGGCACAGCACAAACCTTGTCCAGGCTGGAGTGGTAACGCTCTTCATCAACACTTATTTTCTGCATGACCGAGCGGCAGGGCAGGATGGCTGAGAGCAGCACTTCACATTGGTTGGGCTTCAGTCTGTCACTGCTGGGATAAAACTGTTCTTTTCATCACATTAACTCTTAGATCAATCGTTTCAGTTAATTAACTTGTGTCCATATTATTGAAACACTCCAAATACTGATTTCTGAAGTTGTTTCCGATGAAACACTGAACTAAACTTCCTTCAATATTGGACCGTTTCTTGTTTTTTAACTAAGTCTTGTTCTCCTCAGATTAAACATGTGAAGAGGGAGATTGAACAGGACTAAAAGGGCTTCTGGGGGAGGGGGGCGGCTGTTTTTCCTCTTGTCATTTCCTTTGTTCCTACCTGGTCACCAGACTTATTTAGTGCCTTTGAAGCTTTTAAAGAGCTCAGGAAACGCCTCCTGCATTGGTGTATTTTTTATTTGTTGTTTTGACCATCCAGACTGATCTGAGATTTGTTTTCTAAAAGGTTATTTCACCAACAAGGGACTTGTCACAGTTGTTCCTAATGCATGTTTGTATTTTACACTTCGTTACATCATATCAGACTTCCTGCAGATGTTAACTTCACCCTCTACCCACTGAATGGATCACTTGTTTGTGAATTTCCATTTGAGTTTGCCCGTACAGAACAGTCGTCTTTTTTTAGACAAGTCACCATATCCTGGACATGCCGCACTTGATGGAGTGTTTCCTCTGTTGGTTTTGCCGCTGTGCCTGTCATTGTGAAAACCATGAGCCCTCTCTTCCTTGTTTTGCTATTTTTCATGTCTGAGGATTGAGTTTCCTGTTTCTTTGAGAACAATGGAGTGCAGAATAAATGTGCAGATGTGTCTTGATATAAACATAGAAGAAATCGACAGCATGTGAACAATATATGGCCCTGATCCTTCAGTAGTTATGCTCCATCAGCTTTTACAAGATAACAGTTTATCAGGATGTTTCTGCCTTAATGGATGTGAAGTAGAGGAGAGATCAAGAGGGATAAAGTTGAACAACACAGTTCTTGAGTTGGTTTGAACAATGTGGTGCTGACGTGGTCTGTGCTGTAGGTCAGCCAGGTTTCAGGATGTCCTCTCATTACTAGAGGACAGTTCACTGCTGAACAGAGAAACTTTAGCAGAAAGGTTTGAATACTCATTTGATCTTAGGAGAGTCAGGCCTTGTACGTTCTCTCTTGATGGGTCTTCTTTTCAAGTCTGAAAAATGGATAACTACAGGTTGGTTTTAATATTCATGCTAACGTCTCTCTTGAATATCAAAGTGAAGAAACATGAAAGAAAATCAATTAAAACCTTCTCTCTCTTTGGGACAGCTGGCCGGAGGTGTGATCTTAGCAGTGGCCCTGTGGCTCCGCCATGACAGTCAGACCAGCAACCTCCTCATCCTACAGTTTGAAGGCCAACAGGCTCCGGGCACCTTCTACATCAGTGAGTATTCAACACCCCGAGAAACGCATCACAAACACAAGAAGAAGTTTTTCTTTTCACCCTCACATCAACATTCAACCGTCCATTACTTTATTCCTTTTTAATGTTGGGAAAGCTGTTCATATTTACCACTTCAATTGTAAATGTTCACTGAGTGGAGTACCAGGTTAGAGAAACAAACAGGGTGCAAAGAAATAAACAATGTATTTTAAAATATAACAGTCAACAGTACATTAACATAATGCCATACATGTAAACTCCTCCTAACATTACTGGATTCAAGTCCTTACTTCAGGGCTACTATATGCAGCCTCCTGTGACTTGCCTGGTCACCTTCCTACTTCTTTCCTATTTCCTCAGAAGCGTGTGTCCTCTGTGAGACACTAGATATGCTTCCTTGCAAGGTCCTTGGTCATTATGTCCTTGTTCCTTGTCGTCAGGAAGCTCACTGTTACCAGAGTGATGCAATTTACCTAATTGACAGAAAATACCTGTCTTTCACGCTCAGCTGGATCCAGTCCAGAAATAGTAACAGTGGTGTGACGTCTGAGAGAAGACTAGGAAACAGGACCTGCGTCGATCCGCAGCGTGACTTAAGAGTCAAGACTAAATCACCTCAGTGTTTTTACTCAGCTGTCCCTCCGATCACTGCATACTGTAGGTGATGTTCTCTAACTCAGATAAAAAAACATGTTTATGACTTCAGCTTCAAACTCCTTTCTTGAGAGAGGGCCAGATGTCTCAGACAGATGTTGAGACGTGGGCTCTGGTGCATAAACAAAGCCTTTATGTGCCTACTGTCGCTCGCACTTTAAACTATCTGAACCTGAGGAATTCTAAGAAGTTTTGTATTTCTTTATAAACTAATTCAGGGATTTGTGCCTCAGATTTTGGCTCACATCATGTACTAAAGTCATAAATCATCATCATGTTTCCTTTGCTGCCAGACTCTGGCCCTAAAACCTGCAATACACGTTGTGATTTGAACATATCAAAGGTCCCTCATCTCGGTGTGTTGTGGTGGTGAACTCTAGTGAGCCCATTAATTTACATTTGGGCTCCTGCTGCACTCCCATACTTACCCCTCAGTAAGTATACAGAGCGAATGCGAGCCCGTGCTTTTTATAGAGGAATAGCACACTCGTGATTTTAAAGGCAGGGCGGCAAGAGAGGCCCACCCAGGCAAGATCAAGGGACTGTTTCTTTTTTTTTGTAACCCTCCCTTGAACATACGCCCTTGAATAATTAAAATAACCTTGTACATCTGCACATTACCCTTCAAATTAGAGTTTGGAGTGGATGTTTTTAGCACACTGGCACACCAAAGTGGTATTTATGTAAGGCTGAAAATACACATACTCCCACCTCTTAACCAGCGGCTGAAATCGGTGGCAGTTGTCAGGAGTCTGGTGGGGTTAGGGCTCCAGCCTCTCAAACTCTAGGAGCTGCAGAAAGGCTGACAGATGTTGTTACACATGCTCTTTCAGTACCTTACACTGTATGTATAATGCAGAGCCTCGACCTGAAGGACTTTTCTGCAATATTTCATAGCCCAAAGTGCTAAACTAGAAGGATGCATGCACCAACTGTGAGGAAACAGTTTGACAGAAAAATGTTGTGTGTCTTTGTACACAAAAGCAAAACATTACTCTGAAGTCTCACAGATACTGGAACAAGCTTAATCCAAACATGACATCTCGAACATCTCCCACATGGAAATGGCAATAAAGACGTTTGGGGTTTTAAAGTTATATGTTGCCTCGTTAGCTTAATGTATCAGTAAAAAAGCTTTATATTACAATTCAAACAGCTGTACACTGGGTCTTTTTGAGCTCTGATTCTCTCTCATTTCTTCTGAA